CCAAAGTGTGCCCCATTACTAGTACACTCCACCGAGCGTGACCCGAGGCTTCGGAGACAGGAGGCCTGAGCTGCCCGAGATCGCACCGCTGGAGAGCTTGCGTTCACCCAAGGCTCTCTGAATCTGAGTCTCTGTGTTTGAAGCTTGTTCCAGCACTAGGCACCCGGGGCACAGGAAGCTCCTCACCTGCATGGGTGCGGGGTGATCGGCTGTACCCTGGGCCACCCCGAGATGTCAGTAACACCCCCTCCCGCCTGGTGCTGACTGCTCAGCTCACGCCCTTCAGAGGCTGAATTTTAGTGCCCACAGTGCATCTTGTTGGATCCTAAGTCAATGCCACACCAAAATATTTTTGATCATTTCATACAGAAAAATTTATATTTGCAAGCCTAAAACAATCAAGTTCTTTGAAATCTGTTCCTCTGGGATGTGTAAGACATAAGGGGTGGCTTTGTCAATAAAATAATGACCGCAGGTGATTTAGACCACAGACTAGAAATGCCAGCCTTTAAAACGTGTCGCTGTCTCTCCCCTGGCATGCTTCAGAAGATAAAATGAAGATTTGCAGCAGTAAACAGTTTCTTTAGTGAAAGTGTTTATTTGGTCAATGTATACATATGTGGCCTAAGCCAACAATCAAATTTTTTAAACTGCATGCATAAATGTCTGAAAGTGAAAATACATTATTCAAATATTTTAAAATTCAGAATTCTAGTATTTTTCCTAAATTTCTAATAAACCCAAATTCTCTAAGGCTTTGTTCTTGTTCCTTTCAAAATATATACTTAAATATATATTAAAAGTGTATATTTTTCTCCTTGGGATAACATTATTGACCAAACTCTAAAGTGTACACTGCTATGTCAGCTACTCTAAGAAAGATATAAAAATCAAGGTCTGCATTCCCAAGGATATTATTTTATAAAGATATAACTCATAAACACACAAAGAATGAGAAAAGGCAACATGAAGCAGTTAAAAATTGTTTGGCACAATTCAATTAAAATAAGACACACACATACACACACACACTGAAGTAGTTAAGGAAGATAGTGAAATTCATTTAATAGGCACGTTCCATAAAAACAGTTTGTCACAAAGGTTACATTCCAAGGGTCTACGTGAAAAATCACAGTATACACAGATTAGAAGCAAAAGACATCGGACAAAAACATCCTAGAGGTGTTTATGTTGCTAAACTTTTACACTATTTTAAAATCTTTTTTAAAGTTTGGAAAAGCTCTGGTGTGATACGGATTAAAAATAAATACACTGTACCCATGTAATTTTGACTACTCTTATTATTGTTCCTTTTCATCAAAAATATATTTTCTACAAATCCTACAAAGTTTTAAATGAATGCATACTTGTCAAGAAACACAGATGCCACCCCAAAAGTGAAGTAAACACACGGCTGGCTAAATAAACCCAGAAGAGAAGAGCAGATTTCGCGGGGCTTATGGACAACACTGTATTCGTGACCTGCACTCTTAACGTTTCCCTTGGGTGCAGTGTGGCCCTAACCTGCCTTCTAATGACCTACACTGGACATCACAGTCACAGTCCCAGTGTATAAGGTCATAGCGCAACCCTGTGACGCACACACATCACCATGGTTACCGCCATGTCGCACGTGATAGGAAACACAGCCACTCCGCCTCTCCATGCCGTAAGTGCACACTCTTGATAAGCGAAGAGCCTTCATTTTTCTTCTTCTTTGGGATTTTCCAATTGGTCGCATGTTGCTTCTTCACTCTTCTGTGGCACATCTGGCAAAACAAGATTCCACCCATATGTAAAATATTCTTGTCATTTTTCACCCGGCGAGGACACACTTCGCCATCAGTGAGCGTGCACAGAGACACGAGTAGGCCTGGGGGCTGTCTCTGCTCATCTCTCCTCCTCTCCTGCAGGCACACCAGCCATCCTGTCACGTGCGACCACAGTCTCCCTACAGACGGTGAACGGACACGCACAGGTCGGGGAGGGGCAGAGCTGCATCAGATCGGTCTCTCGCTTCATGTTCACACTCCCTTCACCTTCAGAGGCGGCCTCAGGGTCAGGGTTAGGGCTGGGGCTCCTACTCCACAGGAAACAAAGCCCTCAGACGGGAGCTGCTGCCTCTCAGAGCGACCCGGTCCTCCTCCTCCCGTCCACTGGAAGGCGCTTCTTCTCAGCACTGGCTACAGATGGTTGGGTTTCTCCCCACGCGGCCCTGGCCTCTTTCCAACCTGCCCTTTCCTTCAGGACTGGGTGGCGGGCTGCCCTATGAAGGAGCACTGCACACTCAGAGTAGACGGGAGCCCAGTGTGCCTGGGAGCCTGAGGGTGTAACGTGGTCCACGAGGTGAGTCACACTTTCAAACCCCACCACCGCACCCCACCTGAATTCTGTGGTAATGCTCAGCACGCAGCACGCACAAAATTGAGCAACGGATCAAATAGTAATGGTGGAAGTAGGAATGACCACAGTGCGGCTTTTCTAGTTCCCTGGGACACCACCCTCTGTCACGTCCTTCTGGGGAAGGACCTCGGTGCTCCCTGTTAGGTATCCAACCGGAAGGTATGGATAAAATAGACTGCGAAATCTTAGGTTAACTTTATGCAGGGTGAGAGACTTCTGAGATCCCAGATTTCTTCTACACCTCAGCAAATTGATTTAAAAACTAACAAACAAATAAATACAAAAGAGGACAGCCCGGAAAGAAGGCTGTCCTTTAGAATGTGTACTTTTAAATGACTAATATCAGAGTCGGCCCCCAACTTCCAGTTTTCATTAACTTGGAAACTATTCGTTTTGGAGCCTTAATATTTTTGCTTAGCTAGAAGATACTCATAGGAACTTCGCATTTACAGCTTTGTTAATAAAGCATTGTCTCCACCATGCACCTAGGTAGGCCTGTACCCTTGTATTTATTTTTCAGCATCTGTGGTGACATCTGGATGTTTTTAAGACTTTTGAGTTCTTTTTTAGTTGATATCTTGGGCTTTATTTCAAAAGGATTTAAAGGAAAACATAAAGAAAGAACAATATTCTTCCAGATAATAGGCTCTCTACTGACGGAAATAAAATGGAAAGCACTGTTAACTCTCACAGTGCATTTTGCCCCATTTGCTCACCTAAGCAAGGTCAGCGAACATGAGAGGTGTGTGTGCATGCGTGTGTGATGTAAACTCTAATCGGGCCCTCGTGTGCACAAAGAATCACCCCTCTCCTAGTCGGGGCGGGCCTTTGAGCAAAGACGGAGCAAGGAAGGCACACATCTTTGCATTGCTTGGCTTCCCTCTATCTTTTCTTTTTTCTTATAATGTTTTATTGTGTGTGTGTGTGTGTGTGTGTGTGTACTTTTTTACTCACATTTAAAGCATCCCACATGAGGTCAGCAGCCTTTGGGGAAAGGTGGGAGAACCACGGGGCAGACCAGGACGTGGCCAGGCAGGGACACACGGCTCAACAGAGTGTAGCTCTGTCTTTGCCATCGTCCCTGGGAGCAGCACACCACACACACACACACACACACACACACACACGGATATACAGAGGTACACACACAGGTACAAACACATCTACACACACACCTGTACCCACGCAAGTACACTATCACGTACACACACACACACACACACACACGTACGCCCTAGACTAAAATACGAACAGGGCACAAGTGTTCCTATGAAGCCTTAGAACCGAAATCTCGCATCTGAGTGTTTTCAGGGAAGGGGCGCCTTTACCACCTTATGGAAAGCCTCCTCACATTTATCTTCAGACTACACTCTGTGAACCGTGTGAGCAATGGGATTGTCTTCTTTGGCTTGGCTGACAGCTCTCTTTTTCTGAGCTCAACTTTTCCCGCTGGCTAAAATCGATTACCTTTTATCCGAAGACTCACTTAAAAATGTCAGCCCTAAGTGTGGCAAGCCCCGTCCTTGAACCGGGAAGGGGAAGGGCTGGCGGAAGGGCAGGTGCGCCAGGTTTCCGGATCCCAGCTCAC